TTCTCTGTCTGCATGTAGCAGGTTAGAATGGGATCAGAAGCAAGTTACAGTGAAGGCTGTAACAAGTCTGGGAAACAAATACAGACCTGTTCGTGAATTATAGCAATTGAAGAAGATTACATTGTAGACTGTGTAATTAAGATTTTTTTTTTCTCCCTTCCCCCTTCCCCCCCCCCCCCCCATGATTGATACTGGAGCACAGTTATTGTGGCATGAAAACTTGAGAGAGATATCAGAATGGATCAGTGGCATGGCCAGACTTCATTGGGTTAGGATACATGTCACTGGAAGCGTAATGTGCTTTCTGCAGTTTACCTTTAATTCTGTCCTCCTCTACATGTCTTCTGCATGCAGCCAGAGGATAAGCAAAACTCAGATATGCACCCATTTCTACGAAGCTATCCTGTTCTATAGAACTAGTAACACAAATCAAGTAAATTTTTTTTTGCTTACCTTACTGTTGTCTGCTCCACAGTGTAACCTACTGTTTGTCTGTACCTACTTTTTAGCTGCCTATTGGTATCAAGCTTCCTTTAAAAGAATATTTTCACCTGCCCATCTGTCAAAGATTTTCCTTCTTTGTCCTTAAATTGATCCTTCTGTAGAATTGTTCCATCAATTGACTTTGAAGATGCTTTTCTCCTCTTCACTGTGTTTAGAAGACTGAGGTCTGGGACTTAAATACTTCAGCTGAAGTATTTAAAATACTTTGTGTACTTTAGTATGTTGGCTTTGCTTGAATTAATCATGAAGAGCTCAAATTTACCTGTGCCAGTGAGTTAATTTGCCCCATCATACTGATGCATTCAGTAACAGAAGAAAAAGTAGATACTTATTTTTATTCTTATAACTTAATCAAGAAGTATAATATTTTAATTATACATATATTGCAATTTTACTTGTAACTGTGGCTCATTTTTATTAAATTGAAATAATTATATGATGTTGGATCCTCATCCATTTATTTCTGGTCACTACCAAGGGACTTTACAGTCCAAAGTATTGCTATATTAGAAGAAATTCTCCAGTATGTTTTCTGTTGCTTCCACCACTAACACTCATCTCTTCTGAGCTCTCTGCTTTTGCTTGAGAAACACTAGTTTTTCTAGGTCAGTTGGGAAGCTGAACGGTAGCAGTATGGATGTCTCATCACTGTTTCTTCAGTGCTTCACCTTGAACTCCATGCCAGTTCTGGGCGAGCAGTGCAGTTGATGCAACTGAAATTTCTCTTCTCACATTGTCCCAGGGGAAGTGCTGCCTGCTAGCTAGCTGCAGTGAGGCCTCTGCCAACACACATTGAAAGAAAATGGGATGGAGTCTTTCTGATTTTTTTACTCTGAGGTAGCTGTAGTTCTTTGCAATCTATAGTCATGGATTCTGTGATCCATCTATGCTTACCTCAGGTTTCTGCTCCAGGGAGAAAGGGGATCATGCCTGTCTCACTCTTGTTCCATTATGTCTGTGTGTTCTGCATAGGTATTGCTATTTCAGACAAAATCAAGCACGAGGTGACCTGAAAAAGTGGAAATAATAGAGAATCATGGAAATTAGTGAATTATTTAAAAATAGGAATGTGTTTTCTGGACTCCTTGTGTGTCTGAAAGATTGAAAACTGCATAGTGACTGTTGAACTGGAAGCTGTTGTGTACTGTGATACCAGTCTTTGTGTTCCAGATTTGCCCTGTATCCTTTTTCACATTCATTTACATGTGAATTCATAGCATTTTTTTTTAAACAGAACTATCTATAATAGTCTTGAAAAATTAATTTCAATGAAGTACAATTCGTAAAATCTCCTTGTAAGAAAATTAAGAACAGCAAGTTGACCCCTTTGAAAGCACCTGTTATAACTTGTAAGATGTAAAAAATAGCTGAAGCCTCTCTCTGAAATATGATAAAGGACATATTTCTTGTTATTGCCTTCATGAAAATTAGTGAAGTTTGACTTTTAGGCACAGACAATAAGGAATGGCAGATATTTGGTAGAGAAAGCTTAGTTCTAAAAGAAACTCCAATGAGTGGGATGAAATTATTCAAAGCAGAAGCTACAGAATACAGGATTCATTAAAGATCAGTAATTTAACTTGGGTAATACCTCAATTCACTTAGTGCTCAAAGAGCAAATGTTTTAATTTTGTAAAAGGCAAAGTGAAAATGCAGGTTGAAACACATCTAAGTGCCCAGCTCACTTGGTAGAAATAGTTGAGTCATTAGGGTAGTGCTATCTATTGTTAGACAATAAATCAAGGTCATGAATTAACCTACAACTTAGGTTTTTAAAGTCTGTACAGCAGTGCGTGCATCTGTATGTTAACAGTATACTCAGTTGTGTTAGCCATGTCAACTACAGGCAATAACAGAAACTCCTGATATAAGGCATTAACTGCTTGTATAGTAAGTTGTGTACTAGCATAAGTATTTTGCCTGTGAAGTAGCCTCCTAAAGTGATGCTAAGCATGTCCTTGTAAGACTGTTGTTGCATTTACTGAAAGGCAGCCTGCCTGAAGAACTTTATCATCAGTTAATATTGTATCATGGTAGTACAGAGTCTTTTTTTTTTGTATTATACAGAACTTCTACTGAAATAGATACTGAATAATTTCCTTGCCCCTTTAGTTACAGATCACCATTATTGTCTAGTATTTGAACCTAACAGAGTCCTTAAATATCAACAGAAATTTTTGTCCTGAATAGCTTCTGATTAGAGACGAACTTCCCAAGGTCTTTACTCTGCATGTTTTCCCATGTACTTTTTTGATTTGTAGTCATGGACATAGAGGATAAGCCTGAGCTATCTATTTAGCAAAGAGAAAGGACGAATACATTTTATTTCCCTTTTTATTTAACCATTTGTTCAGGTTCAGTGTTTAAGAACTCCATCTTCATGTTACTCTTTTCTGATCACAGATGTAACCATTAATACAGTTTTCTTCCTACTGCTTTGGTTTTGTGGTCTTAGTACATATTTTTATGCATAAACTTCTAAAGGTAAGAAAATTTCTATTTACTTTATTTTGAAAATGCAGTAGATCCACGAACACTAAAATATATCACTTTCTTGTTTTTATGTAGGTAAGGTTTTCTTTATAAGCAGTGTTCAAATCAGAAAACTTCCACCAGTCATTAACTTCTTTATAGCTCTTTCATATTGAAAACTTTCCATCTACTGATTTGTAAATACGACCTGCAAGATCACAATTCATGATTTTTTTGTCATTGTTGCTGTATTAAGCATTTTTTTCTATTTCTTACTAAGCTGCATCTTCACTCATCTTACTTATACCAGTATTGTAGTCTTTCCTTTTCAGGATCTTTATTTCACTATAAATGCTCCTTCAATCTTCTAAATGTATGATTTAAATTTCTTCTGCTTAAAGAAATTAAGTTTTTTTTCTTTTGTGCTTGACTAAGGAAAAGGAACCTGACGTTAAAACCATACAGTTATGGCTATCTAGATCTCAAAGCTGATTGCTTGCTTATAGTTTGAAATGTGGGAGGAAACCTGTGGGTATGTAAGAATATTTCTCAGATTATTTTGCTCTCATCAGCAGTCACATTGAACTTTGAGAGCAATAACTAAGTGAACTAAACCATGGAGCTATGTAAAACTGGATCTTGAGTATGTAAGTGTGTGTATCTATATGGGAATTTATGGAAAAACCTTTAAATTGGAAAGAGCTTAAGCTGAAACAAAGTTTATGAAAAATGAGCCCTGAGAGGCTGAACAGACTTACGTGTTTGAATTCAGCCCTAAGATTAACCAAGAAGAAATTATGAAGATTTATGAAATTCTAAAACTTAAATTTGCAAAACTGTGGTTCAGTATCTTTTTTTCACCTTGTGGAATGTCTTGGTAGCAGTCTATTGAGGTATGTAGTGTAACCACTGTAAGGATAAAATAAGTATCAGATAATACCATGTGGTCTGGTGTCCAGGAATGCCTTGAATTACTGCAAATTGGGACTTGTGATGAGGTTGATGGGACAAAACGTTTTTTTTTCAGTCTGTTGCTTTACTTGAATGGCAGGTGGCATGTGTGCTGCATTGCTTAAAAACAACTGAAAATCAGTTTTGAGCTTGAATTCTTGACTGATAGAATTGTATGCTCCAGGACTGTCACTTATACACATTAGAAAGGATAATCTACATTGTATCTTTAAAAAAAAGATCATAAGGATGAAATATATTTGTCTTGGCTAGTGGTGGTTCTGTTGCCTGTGGCTATAATACAGTGGGCTTTGAACTTGACACCTCAAACTAAGCAGTTTTGACCCTGGTCAGCATGTTTAGTGAGAAACTTCATAGACAAATGGATATCTTTCAGATTCCAGTTGCAGTTTTATTTTGTACTGTTACTGATTGTGTTTTATTTTTTTAATTTAACTTCATTTTGGTATATCTTTACAGCTGTAGAAAAAAAACCTGTATGCAAAAAAGCCCTTGTAATGCCAAAAATAAGCTGGGTCTTTTTATTTTTTTTTTTACTTATATTTGATCGGGGTTTCTGTAACAGCTTTTTTTATTATTATTATTTGAGTAAGTTATATGAATCTTTAGAAATATTATCTCGTTCCTTCAGTAAGTGTATGCATTTGATACATGTTCCCTTGAACCTTTCCACTGTCAAAAAATGCCTATCTGCTTCATTATACTAAGAGGAACACAAAGTTGGTGGGGAATTGAAGTTACCCTGCTGATTTTGTATTTTTAGTTTTCTGGTTGTTTACACAGAATAGAGTTCTGACTTACTGATTCTCATTACAGAGATGCAAGCTCTTTCATAAAATAGGTAATATGGTCTGTTGGGGAAACCAGAAAATGTAATTAGTCCATGGTAAATTTACTGTTGGACCATGTCTCCGCTAATGGACCAGTATTGCATAGCTTTTCTGGTCTTTAAAATCAGCTTGTTACAGCACTGGGATGCCTGCTCAATGTGGTTGCATTGCGTGGCTGTAGCACTTGTAATTTAACACATCTTTTTCTTTTTCTTTCTAAAGGCGCCTAAACAGAAATAACCTCCAGTTGCTTTCTGAACTGCTCTTTCTGGGGACACCGAAATTATACAGGCTGTAAGTAGGCACTACCCAATAGCTATTACTCTGGAAACTTTGCAATTGGTCTGTTGTTCTGTCTTGCATTAGGTTTTTTGTCTTTTGTGTCATTCAGGGCTAAAATGTATTTAGGAACATTGATGTTTTGTTTAAGAAAGATGAGTACTTTATTCGAATGATTTGCAAGTTTGTGTGTTTTTTTTTTTTTTTAATCTAGGTTAGATACTGATAGTTGTATGAGGCAATTTGTTTTATCCATTCCCACTTCTGTAATGAAGTTTTGCTGAAAGAATACTTTGGTATTCCTTTTCTCCTGTTTGCTTTTTGATTTCTGTATTAAAAGAAATTTTTAAAGCCTGTGGAGATTCTGACCCAGAGATACAGCACTGTATAAGCACTTTGGTTTTGTCATGTTCTATGTTTTTGGCTGTACACACTTGACCAGAAAAATTATAATGTTGGCAAATGGTTGGTCTATGGAGAGGTCTCTCCTGTGTCCATTCACAAAGAAAACAAAGGTAGAAACTTAAGCTCTGGGAAGAAAAAAAACTCTGAAATGTTTTGTTTTAAATAAAAACTGTATTGCATTGGGTAATGAATTTTTGTTTTGATTGTAGTCTCTGGTTTGATAATGTTTTACTCTTGGCAATATTTTTAAATTAATGTTTTGACCCATTGGCCCTTTTAAGAATCCACATATTTCTGTTGCAGTAAAAACATGGAATGAAGCTTAGGTACCGATTTCTGTAACATGATCAGCTATTGTAACGAAATAGATTTTAAGTTACCTTTAAGTTACAGTATGTGGTATGGAAGGGATACAACATGATATGATTAAGTAGGCTTTGAAAAGGTTGTACAAATTCAGCCCTGTTTTAATTAGATACGTATTCAACACAGTTCTTTAGACTTCGGGTGAGATTTCTGCTGCTGAAATTGCTGAGTTTATGGAGTTTCACCCCTTCCATACTTGCAAAAAAAGTGGAGGTGGAGGAAGGTGGGGTTCCTTTGATTTGTTTTCACTTGAGTATCTGGAAATATTCTTGAGAACAAATGGTATAGTGAAACTTTTATTTTTAGGATTTGATTTCTGGTTTAATATTGTGAAATAATAGTACTTTTTTCCCCTTTCATAGTAATATGAAATGGTAAACTGAAAACGATTCTATTAGTGTAAACATTTAGTTATGTGTATTTTTATTTCTTTCCTTTGCTTTGGAGGTATGTTTTGTTTCCAGAACTTCCCTGTAGATGCTACCACTTGTTAAATTACTAGGCCAGAAAGTTCCTGAAGGCTTTTGTTGTAACAAAAAAAAAATTTTACTCCGCTATAATATTTTAATATATTCTTATATGGTTTTATATATTAACAATTGGTTCTCTTTTATAATTTCCATCATCCATGATAAATATATTACTTCCATCAGGAAGGAAAATGAAAGGGATCTATGATCATTTTATTATTCCACCTATAGTGTAATGGTTGTTATCTAAATTCATATAAAAATGAGCTATAATTTGCAGGCAAAAAATAGATGAACACTTCAGGCAAAATCATACTGGAACATTTAATTCAGAATTGTATATTTGATAGATGCTAGTCTTAAATCTATAATGTCCTTTGACATAAAGCACACAACTGCTCATAGCGTATATGGTGGAAAGAAAGATCACTGGCTTCACAGTATTAAATTTCCTCTGCCTAAGGGTTATTGTTGATCAGACCATGAAAGCGAATGTCTAGTTATAATGTATTCATGTTTAAGAGAAAATGAGTGATACTGAGTCTAAAGTCACTTAACACTAAATCTGTAACAAAAAAAAATGTCAGGACAACAAAGGGATTGATGCTGCTTAAGTGCTTCTGGTCAGTTTTCAGATTTATATGTAGCTTGATCACTGAAGAATATTAAATGATTCATTTTTTTACATGTTTCATTGAATAGGCTTACATATATTTCTATCCAAATAAATATATTTCTAAGGAGAATTAAAAGTCTCTAAACATAATCAATAAATGTATAATATGATTTGGTTTTAGTATTTATTTTTAGCATTTAACAGCTAATCAAACACTGTGTATACTGTGAGTTTTCAACATACTACTGAGCTTCTGTGAATAATAATTACCATTTGACCCTTGGCTGTAAATGAGATGCCAGGTGAAGAAGCACATATGCTTGTTGTGTAGCCTAAATTCAATATAAAAGAAAGAGGGTACACTGTATATGAATTATGATTAGACACAGTTGGTTGCCGCCAGCGGCCGGCTATGCTTTCCCTTTGCTGTCTGCTCCAATTTCTCTTTGGACGGGTTGAGAGAGCACTGCGTGTTCAGGTCAAGATGTTTGCCTAGAAATAGTAGTACAGTTGCAGCTGTGTTTGCTGGAGCAAGAGACTAGTTTAAATAGCATTACCATTTATCCAGTCCATTAACAGAACTCTGTAAAATAATACCAACTCTGCATAAACTACAGGACAGTGTAATAAAATTGCAAGCACTTGTTGACAGATGGGAAGTATAAGTAAAGGAAAGTGATAGGTTGAGAGTTTAAAAGAGACAGTACATTATTTTTTGTGTCTAAAGACCCTTGATTTTCAAAGGTAACTAAACAAATTATTTTTCAGGTTACTTTCTCTCTGATTTAGCAGCCTTCCAAGAAATCTCCTGGAACTAGTTAAAATGGATAATTTTAGTCAAAGCAGAAACTGATTTTCCCATTAAGAGTTATCTGCAAAGGTGTTTTGACATAAATATTTCAGTAAGAAGTAGTTAATGCTAAAAATAGTATGAATACTGCTGTAGGGTATATTAGTCTTACCTTGCAAGGTATCTCTCAAAGCACAATGTATGTGAACCTCTGCTTTGATCCAATACTGTTAAAATAAAAGTGCTGTTGTAAATCCCCTGGGGTAATACAAGTCCTTGTTCAACAAGTACTTTTCCTGCAAGAAGGGGAAGCATTATTTTCAGTAACCTATATGCCTGCTCACACTAACTTGTCTAGCATTGGTGATGGTACCTGTATGGAGAACTCCTACAGCCTAGCGAGTGCTTATCTGAGGCAAATGGATTTTGACTGCTTACTTTGGCTGGTTAGGTCACAGTTCATTGACTGCAGTTTGTTGCAGGATACCATGTGTTGTACCCAAAGCTGTTTGAAAATTCAGTTTTAAAAGATACCTTTATTAATGTATGTATATATATGTAATTACTGTATGTATAATGGATGTAAAGGTTACCAAATTCCATGCACAAAGCTTGTCCATTTTTGATTTACATGTTTTGTGCTTGGAATGAGGTTAAGTTTCCTAACTGACCAGTATTTGCTGTATAAGTTAGGCTTTGAAAAAACAGTATTTCTAGTGGAGGTGATCTGATATTAGATATGCTTTCCTTCTAATCCATGTACTTGAAGATACACACTGTGAATGAGATGGTTTTCCCCTAAAGGAAAAAAAAAATGTATAATAAACACTCAGTTTTGAGATATCTGTTAGTCACTTTTATGATTTTTTTTTACAGCTAGTAATTAAAAGAAAAAAATCTGCTGAACATAAAAAAAACCTTTTTAAAAAAAAATCTTAGGCCAGAACAGCAACAGCAACAAAAGCAAAATATGCTGCATGGGGGGCCCTTGCAAAAATTCCTCCTGAATTAATTTCTGCCAGCTATGATTAAAGTGTGTGGTACTAGATGTGTCAGACACCATAGTTCTCTGCTTCATTTTACTCTTGGCCTCTTTGGCCCCTGCCACAATAAATCCCACAATGGTTAGGCAGGAATTGCAGGTTACAGTTGCCAGGGTTACCGTTGTCCGGTCGGACCGACATCATTACTCATCCAGGCCGCTGCCCCAGCGCTGCTGCCCGCTCCTGGCGCGGGGAAGGCTGTGGGCGGCTGGTGCGAAGAGGAGGAAAGTTCTCCAGGCACCTCTCAGGTCTGTTTTTTGAGCTGCTGCAGGAGAACCTGTGATTTCCATCATTTGCTCAGTGTTGTTTTGTTTTTACCTTTTGCCAGGAGAGGGGAAAAAAACCCAACCAACCAAAAAAAACCCAAACAAGCAAAAAAAAAAAAAAAACCACAAAAAAAAAAAAAAAACACAAAAAAACCCAAAAACAACCCCCAAACCAAAACAACAACAACAACAAAACAAAACAAAACAAAAACAAACAAAAACAACAACAACAAAAAAAAAAAAACAAAAACAAAAAAACAAAACACAACAACAACAAAACCACATCAGATAAGAATGAACAAAAAGATGAAAAGGTGTTGTATGTAAGATGCTAAACCACTGAATTTTAAAATATTTAAGTGCTGGTCTCCTTATTGTTAAGGTAGCTGTATTTGAGGCTTAATTTAGGCTTTTGTCATACCTTTTAATGGTAATCATGGCAAGTGAGATTGTAGTCATGATTTTATAGAAAAGATATTTATCTTCAGTCTGAATCAGTTTTAACAACTGAATAGATAAATTGCTCATTAGAAAAATGCTCATTATCCCAAAGCCTCTGAAATCTTATTCCAACTAGAGGAAGGTTGCTCTGGATGTTAGATCCAATGAGGAGCAAGAATGATTTTCCCCTTTTGAAAAGGTTGTATTGATGAATCTCTCACCTTTTGAAAGTAGATTATTAAAGGAACTGATGTTGGATAAGTGTAGTGGGTAGGTTTCCAGTGTTGTGTGTGTGCTGTGATAATGTTACAGTGTGCTCCACCTTATTGCAGGAGTGTGCTGGATGTGCAGCAATTAAACAAAGGTTTATTGGAACATGAATTTTGAAGCCACCTTGTCGCTATATCCTTTCCAGGAAAGTGTGGGGGTTTTTTTAGCCATTTGTTTCTGTTTTAATGATTTGTTAAGGGGCATTCTAACAGCCTTGAATGTAAGGCAACTTGATTTTTTTTTTTCTATGATAGATTTGAATCTTATACTTTTAAAGGTAAATAGAAACAATTAAGTCTTCTATACATTGTGTCCATCCTGCTAGTATTTTAACTTGTGTTTTTTCTA